ATGTACATATTACATACATAGTAAGAAATGCTTTCTGATTGGTTTATGGCTAACAAGGTCCTATCTTACATTTTAACTGACATTATTTATGGTCAATGGCATAAAATTGTGGTAGTACATATAGAATATTGTAACCTAAATATATGGTTAGTGTGATATTTGAGACAAATTTGTTTTTAAACACATATATTTTGTCATTGTTTTTACAAACTCAGTAAGTAACATTAAATTACCTTAGAATTTCAAATAAAGCATTTTTTTTAAAAAGCAGTACTCCCATTTTTAGTAATCCAAATAGTCTCCTTTTAGAGTCACAGTGAAAGATAGAAAATCAATTTTCTTGGCTCCTGAGGATGTATGGGTGATGATCATTATCAAAAAGATAAAGACAGGTACAATGTATACCAAGGTGTCTTCAGGATGTTGACAATAGTACTTTTGATTCTTCTCTTCCTCTTTTTCTTCTTTCATTCAAATTTACTCTTTCAGATTTTCTATAATTAACATGTATAACTTTTGTAATAAAAAATATAAGCTTTATTTGAAAAAAAATTCCAAGGTTATTGTTTTAACAGCCCACAACATCTAGATAAAAGTCAAGATCAGGTCTACTTTTTAAATACACTAATGAAAGAAGCTTTGTCTCTTCCACAAGCAACATTTTTATTTTCTTTATTATTACGGCCAAAAAAGGTTTTACCAACTTTATTACTAATTTCTTACAGATCTGCTCATGAAAACTTTTTATATTCATCATTCTTTTTTGTGCCTTTACATCCACTGCTTTTCAAATCATTGCCAAGCTTTGGGGTTCATGAAATATGAGCTCCCTCTAGTGACCAAATTAATTATGGCCCATCAATGGGAGATGAATGGATAGACAGACAGATCTATGGTACCTATGATATCTAGGTCTATCTATTTATCCATTATCTATCTGTCTGTCTGTCTGTCTATCTATCTATCTATCTATCTATCTATCTATCTATCTATCTATCTATCTATCGGCTTCTTATTGTGGGATGTGGATTAATTCTAAGGCAAATCAACAAATGCTTAGGCCCCTTGTTTAATCAATTTTAATTGAGGTATAATTTGCATACAATAAAATGTTCCCATTTTAAGCGTGTAATTTGGTGAGTTTTTACAAACATACAGTCCATGTACCATACCGCAATCAAAATATAGAAAATTTTCATCACCCACCAAAGTTCTTTTGTACCCTTTTGCAGTCAGCCCCAGACAAATAGTACAGAATAGAAAAGGTGGAAACAGAAATCCTTGTCTTATTCTCATCATAGACGACTTTCACCATGAAGTGAACCCATCATTAGCTGGGGTTATTCATAGACTTCCTTTATAAGCTTGCTGAATATTCCTCTGTTGATAGTTTTCTGCAAGTTTTAATTTTTTTCCATGAATGAATGTTGAATTCTATCAAATACGTTTTCTACATCTATTGAGATCATCACTGCTTTTTCCTTCTTCAATCTGTTGCTGTGGTAAATTATACTGATTAATTTTGAATGTTGAACCAGATAAATTCCACTTGATCATGACATATTACCCTTTTTATATATTGCTTTATTAAATTTGCTATTGATTTTAAAGATTTTTTGTTACTATGTTGTTGAGGGATAGTGGTCTGTAGTGTCTTTTCTTGTAATATTTTGGTAAATTCCACTTGATCATGACATATTACCCTTTTTATATATTGCTTTATTAAATTTGCTATTGATTTTAAAGATTTTTGTTACTATGTTGTTAAGGGATAGTGGTCTGTAGTGTCTTTTCTTGTAATGTTTTGGTATCAGGGCAATGGTGACTCTATAAAATGAGCTGGGAAGGTTCCTTTCTCTTCTACTTTTTGAGAGATTTACGTAAGATTGTTATCATTGCTTTCTTAAATATTTGAGAGAAATCATCAGTGAAGCCTACTAAGCTTGAAGAATCTTTATCAGAAGATAATTAATTAGTAATTTCATTTAAAAATTTTTCATAGAGTTATTCAATTTTTAAGTCTCTTTTTGGGTCAGTTTTTTTACTGAGGTATAGTTGAGTTACAATGTTGTGTTAGTTTCTGATGTACAGCATAGTTATTCAGTTACACATATTTATATTTTTTTCATATTCTTTTTCATTATAGGTTATTACAAGCTATTAAATATAGCTCCTGGTGTTATACAGTAGGGCCTTGTTGTCTATTTTATATATTGTAGTTAGTATCTGCAAATGCCAAATTTGGGTCAATTTTTGATGATTTGTGTTTTTAAATAAATTTGTCTGTTTTTTTTAGGTTGCCACATATGTTACATTAAAACTTTTTATATTATTACTTTATTAACACTTTAATACCTTTACATCTGTGGCGATATTCCATTTTCATTCCCTATATTGATAATTTGTGTCCTTGTGAGGGAGTTAATTGTGCCCTATCTACAATCTAATCAGTTAGCCCTCTACAGTTTCATGAAGACTTACAAAAGATACAAGACCCCTGGACAGAGACATAGAAATTTGTGACAGCAAAAGTAGTAGCCAAAAATGACAAATCCAAAAAGGAAATAAAGAAAATATTTCAATTTACAATAGCACCAAGAAGTATAAAATACTTAGAAAAAAACCTAACCAAGGAGAACTTTTACACTGAAAACTGCAAAATGTTGCTGAAGGAAATCAGAGAAGATACAAATAAATGGAAAGATACCCTGTGTTCATGGACTGGAAGACTTAATATTGCTAAGATGCCAATGCTACCCAAAGCAATCTACAGATTTAATGAAATACTCATCAAAGTCCAAATGTCAGTTTTTGCAGAAGCAGAAAAACCCGTTCTAAAATTCATATGGAATCTCAAGAGACCCTGAATAGCCAAAACAATCTTGAAAAAGGAGAACAAAGTTGGAGGTCTTACACTCTCTGATTTGAAAACTTATTACAGAGACACAGTTATCCAAAGAGAAGGTGTTGGCATAGGTCAGACATATAGAATGATGGAATAGAATAGAGAACTCAGAAATAAACCCTTGCGTATATGATCAAATGATACTTGACCAAAAAAGTGGCTGGAGTATCAGTGTCATTGTTGCAGTTTCCCTGTCCCACGTACCACAGTGATGTAGAGGACCAGATGAAGCCTGCCTGCGTAGTGGGTTGCCCCACAGAAGAGGAATTCCGAGTTTAAGGAGTCCATCACTTTTAGGGCAAGCAGTAAGCAAGCATCCTCCCTGGCACAGGGAGATATTACCTTACCTCTCAGAATTACTGGCTGCATGAAGACTCCTGAGAAACGGCCCAGGTAGAAAGTGGTCAGGGTCTGGAGTCTTGACACTCAGCAAGATACATAGGAATGTAAATAGTTTATAGTGCACTGCCTCCCAGCAGTCCTCTTTTTCCCCTAGTTAATCTAATTAGTTTATCAATTATATTGATCTTTTCCAAAAACTTGCTTTTGATTTCATTGATTTCCTCTGTCATTTTTCTGTTTTCCATTTAATTTAGCTCTTATCTTTAGCTCAACAGTTCTTATTTTTCTAATTTGTTAAGGTAGAAACTTAGACCACTGATTTTAGACCTTTACTCTTTTCTAAAGTAAGCATGTAAGGCTATGAATTTCTCTAAAAGAAATGCTGCTTTAGCTGCATTTCTCAAATTTTGATATGTTCTCTTTTCCTTGAGTTCAAAATTATTTTCTGATTTTCCTTTTCATGTGTTTGTCCCATGAATTATTAGAAGTTTGTCATTTTTTTCAGCTACAGAATCAAGTACCTTTCTTTGAGCCTTGGATGTATCACTTACTAGACTGGTAGCTTTAGGCAAGTTCTTTAATTTCTTTGAAGTTCAAATTTATCATATGCAAAATAGGAACAATAAGAGACTCTACCTCCCAGAGCTATTGTGAAGATTAAATGAGGCAATCTATGTTAAGGACACAGAAGAGGACCTGGCACAGAGTAAGCCTACAGAAACTGCTAGGTATTACTAGTGATTTTTTTTTTTACTTTTTATTTAATGAAACTTAATTCACAAATAATCCTGCATTTTTAATATGTAAATTACTTTTTATTTTCTCAATTATACATTTTTCATTTTGTGCACCCTTTGTCTATATTTTGCATTATCCCTTCAGATTGGACTACAAGAAAAAATTTTTTAAAACAGTATTTAATTCAAGGGCATGAAACTACTTGTGTTTCCTTCATATTATCACTAATTAGGTAACATGTCTAATAGACCCTTGCTTTCCCCTAAAGGAAAGTAACCAAACCGCTTATTTGTCTAGTATAGCTTCCTAGTTTCTGCTCCCTTCTGCCTATAAAGTCTTTCATTTCATGAAAGACAGGCCCCTTGGAACTCCTTTCTATCTCGTAAATTGGATGCTGCCCGATTCAAACTGGTTTTTGTTCAAATAAACTCATAAAATGTAAAAACAAGCCTCAGTTTGTCTTTTAGCATATCCCAGCATAATGAACGGACAGTCTGATTTTTACTTTTTCAAAGGGAGCTGATGTTTTGTTTTCTCACTACAAATTCACTGCATGAGGCAGGTTCCTACGCTGCCTCTAGACTCTAGAAAGTGACAGACATTGGCCAATCTTTTCTCACCAAAGTGGAGGTGAAAAGGCAGAGCTATGGAAATCCTTAGATCCAGGCCTGCTCAGCCAGGTCCTCCTCTTACTCCTACACACTCACACTGGTGTTTCTTTCTCCGGCTCTCAAGGTATCCCGAAGTCTCACAAGGGAGTGAGAAACACTTTTCCTGCTTTAAATCAAATTCCAGGAACCCTCGGAGGCTGCTGGGCGGAGCGCTGGTTTGGGAGAAAAGAGGGATGCTCTTGAACTAATTAGTTTAGCCGCCTTCCCTGTGTCCTCGCTACTGGAACATTAGCGTGCCCAGTGGGTGAGAAGCCGAGTCGCCGCCGGGCCACACCGCAAGCCGCCAATTCCCAGACGCACCTGCCAGTACTCTGCCCCGCCCGGGGCCTGCGTCCCGCCGCGCACCCTGACACTCCCGGAGCTCCTTCGGGCCCGCCCCCGGCCCTAAGCTCGGCTCCTGACCCCGCCCCTGCGTGGAGCCCCCGGGCACCCGGCTGCTGCTGGGACGCGCTCCGGGTGGGGGCGGAGCCTGGCTGCCGCTGCGGGACCGGAGCGGCGGGAGGTGGCGCCTCGGTCCAGAAGCCGGGGACTCGCGGCCATGACAGTGTCGGCCCGCGGCTTTTGGCTGCTCCGCGGCCGCCTAGGCCAAGTGCCGGCGCTGGGTGGGAGCGCGGTGCCCCCCTTGGCCGCGCCGGCGCCGGGAGCGGCCGGACGCGCGTTCCGGGGCTTTTCGGAGCAGCGGTGTGAGGTACGAGCGCTCCCGGACGCTCGACCTCCTCGGGTCTCGGGGCTCCCGGGTGCGAAGCCGCCGGCGGTGGGAGGGGCGGCGGGGCGCCGGCAGCTGGCGCGGGCGAGGCCCTCGCGCGCGAGGCCGGGGCTCCGCGGCAGTCGCTCGGCGCGGCGGGGCTGGGGGCGAGGCCTGCCTGGGCTCCGAACTTGGCCTGGCGGCCCGGCGGGGAGGTGCGTCGGCCTCCAGTCGGGCGCCTTGGACGTGCTCTGCGTTCACCAGAACGTTCCATCTTTGCAGCAGGTGCAGTCGAGTGATCGAGGAAGACTTTTGAGGCCCCAAGGAAAGGTGCCAGAAAAACACGTGGTCTCTTGTTTCAGACACTTTGTTTTGGTTATTGGCATGTTTCGTAGACAAAGGAGCGGGGATGTCCAGCTGTCTTAGTAGTCTTTGAGTTTCTGAATTTCTTGGTTGGTAGTTATACTGATACCTTTTACAGCTCTAAAATCCTTAATGATTTCACACAACAGACATTAATCTTGTCTTATTCTTTTTCTGTATGGCGCTTCCTGAATCTCTTAAATCGTAGATTGAAGTGATCAATTTTACATTCACTGCATTTCTTTGGACCTTGTTTCTGCCTGGCATGTTGAAAATACAGAACAGTTCGGTTTTTAACTCTTCTGCACAGTGGTACCCAGGAGCACTTCACCCTTCCGTCATATACTTGTAGTTACTAAAATCTAAGAAGCTAAAAATACATTCCTTTGACCCAGAGCTAGTGAGTCCAGAAGAGATTCTGTTTTCTGACTTTCGGGGCTTCCAGGAATGCGCTTTCACTGCAGTTTTATATTTTACTTTACAGAGATTATGTCTTACTCATCTTTTTGTATCCCCAGTGCTCAGCATTGTACCTGGAAGAAAGTAATGATCAGTAATGTGGAAAGACAGAGCTACTGCTTATTTAACTTAAATAAACTCCCCCATTGTGTATATTTTGGACCTTAGTCTTGAGTGACTGATACTAAAAACAATATTTCCTGTGGGGTTTACTTTGGACATAGTTTATAGTGACTACTACTTGTCTTTCACAAGTATATGTGAGAAAATAACAGAGATTCAGAGTTCTGGTTGTGGAAGCTCTCAGTGTCTGAAAAAATTGTCCAGTTGGTCTGGAACTATCAATTCTACTACCTAGGAAAAGATTCTGTAGAATTCTATTTGTTCTACAGAAATGAAGGAATTATGTACTATAGTCACTCTTATTTCGATAATTATTTTTTGAATTTCAGGTATTTTTGGGCTTCTTTCCAGAGTGCAGATAACCTTTTTCAAATTGTATAGCTGGTTAACTTTGTCAGCTAATGTAAATAAACGACCCCAACACCCTGTCTTCTCCATGTACATTGAATGGGAGCCACAATAGTTACAACCCCAACATTTCATTGTAGCCACTTGCTCCACACATATCCATACACACACACACACACACACACACACACACACACAGAGAAAATTCAGATTTTTAAAAATTAAATTAATGGCCTCTTTATAATTTAAAATAGTTGAGTGCAGTAGTTTTGGAAAGCTATTTTTAATATAAAGAAGTATTACTTTCAACCCAGCTGGTTTCGGCCCTATTTAATACAAATTATAACTGTATAAAATAATAATACTTTTGATAGTTTTTACTTTTTCAAGGCAGCACCAGTTAAGTTAGTATTAGGTGGTGTTTTTGATGTCCTCTTGGTGTTGAATACCATATATGAAGGTGAGGTTGGCTGTAAGGTTGAGAAACACCTGTGGACTGGTGGGTCTCGGGTGGGGAGGAATTCGGACAGTGTGTTGATGCTTATTGGTGTCTCTTTTCTCTTCTAGGACCAGCAGAGAGAAGAGATTCCTTCCAGAGGTCACCACTGTCTGCCTCCCCACTTGTCCCCATCCTCAGTCATCTTTTTTCTGATATGTAGTGACACGTTAGTTGTCTAGTTCTTCATAGTGAGTGTTTTTAAAATCTGATATCATTCCTACTGATTTGAAATTTGAACCTTAGTGTTAAATTGTCTTTAAGTTTTATAAGCTCTTTCCCCAGTGATATTGACTGTTTTCAATCAACCGATTTATTACCAGTTTCTGAGTTACAGCACCTTAAATGAATAATGAAAAAAAACTTTGATCATTTTTTCATATTTTTGACTAATTAGTTACCTATAATAGTTGAACATATAAATACTTTTTTAGTGGAGGAGTTTTTTTAATAAGCAGAATTTCAATAAATCATGTTTGGCAAAATTTGAAAGGTACAGAATCTTGAAGTATCTTTTAATATTAACCTCTCAATGGTTTTCCTTTAAAATTTGCAATTATTTTTTTTCCTATTTTCTCAAGAGAAATTAGATCTTATTAACTGGAAGAAAATACATTTAATGTCATAGAAATAAATAAGCCCTTCTATTTGTTGCAGCTTATTTTTTCTTGAATTACCTAAACAGCCAAAAAGTTAAAACATTCTTAGTGATCGAATTTTTCCCATTTTTTCCTTGCTGTCCGAGAGATTTAGAAATGAAAATATCCTTGGGTTATAAACATCACATGAGTCTTTGGCACAGGGCTTTTCAGTGTACGGAGCCAGGTAGCAGCCTGTCCCATTTGGAGGTGAGGTTATAGACTTCACACATTCAGGCCATACTGTAAGCAGAGTTGCAGGTGTCCTACAACAGGGACCTCCCCAGATCCTACACTTTAGATCCTCCTATCTGAATTCATTTTCAGTAACTGAATGGATATCCCAAGCATTCGTTCCATGTTTATCCCATTGCTCAGTGATGGCAAAAATCATTCATTTGCCAGATTCTCTTTATTTTTCCTCTCCTGCTGATTCCTTTTAGTATTTGTAAAATCTTGTATGCTGACCGACAGCTCTTTATGGAGACCTCATCTTTTCTTTTTATCTCACTACTAATGGCTTTATAATTTTTATAGCTAGGCTGGCATTTTAAAAAAAAAAACATATTTTTGGAGTTAGGAAGAGACTCCGGTTTATGTTGTTTAAATAATCATGATTTGTAGAGTGGGGTGTTTAATAATTAAAAAACAATATTTATCAGTAAGGCTGTTCATTTTCCTTTAGACTCTTCCCTCTAGTGCTTACTCAGTATTTCTCTCTCTGCCATAGAATTATTTGATTTAAAGATCTTTTTATCCTCTTGTGAAGCTTGAAGGGCCCAGACTCCAGTTAGGACCATTACTAAAGATGATTTTCCATAACCTGATTTCAGCCAAGATAAGAGTTAGTCCCAATGGCTAGCAAAGGCAGTTTCTTAAAATCATGTTTTATTTTGTTGGCAATATTATACAGTGGTTTTCCTATTGTAATGCCTTACTTGTTCTAAAGAAAATGAGATATGACAGCTAGCTGGTTACAATTTTTGATTTCCAAGCAGTTCTTATTTCATTTTAGATTTCAAACCTAAATGTTTCACCATTTCTGTGTTGCCATTGTTTTTGCTAACATTTTATTGGCTGCATCATCCATATTAAGTCAATTGGCCATAACTTACATAACCATCTTGCTGTTGTTTAATGTCTAGTCCTTGAAACATGAAATAATTTACTCTGAGATTCAGGTCATGTTCTTGTCAACGTCATACCAACCACGTTTGTTCACTTAATGATCTTAACTCTATATAAGTTTCTATAATTACTTTTATTAAAGGGTATGTCTAGAGCTAAGAGACTAGTCAAAGATTCATAATTCTAAAGTGGGGGCATATTACAGTTTAAAACAAATGTTTCCTCCCCACCCCCTTGGCTGTTTATCATTAACTTATATCATCTTGCCTTTAAGTAATCCAGTTGTATTGCTGAAAAATTCTTAATATTTAATAATCCCTTACTCTGTGTTAAGCACTTTGATAGAATTTTTCACATACAGTATGTCCTTTGTCCTTACAACAACTGAAGGAAGTAGACACTGTTACTATTCCCATTTAACAGATTGAGAACAGGTTGGGACATAGAGAAATTAAATAACTTGTCCAAGATAACACAAGAAATAAATAGTGAAGACAGGATTTGAAGCTGCACGCAACCCAGTGCTTTACTCTATATGCAATTTATAATTGTCATATCTCACTGTTGCTTTTCCTCTTTTTCAAAACATTTATTAAATCTCATAGAACTCCTGTGAGTCAAGAAAACTAATTTTGCATATAGATACTAAATACTGTCAGATTCCCTCACCACCAGGTAACCTGGGACTTCATGAGAAGAATTTAGACCTCCTTAAACTTAGATGGGAGGTCACTAATCTCTGATAAATTTAGCATTTTCTTCAATTATGAATGTTGGCAACACACCACAGTAGTATTAGCAGTACTTGTGAGGTTTCCAGTAAAAATACAGATATTTTAATATCACAGAGTTGAGGCAGAGATCTCAAAACACACACTCACCACTACTCTGGTATTATGGTAGTTATTAGACTTGCTATTAGATCCTTTTATTTAATGCTTTTAAAAAAATGTTTGATAACAGTATTTCAATAAAACTGGCTTCCTTGTAAACCTGTATATCCTATATTAAACACTTAAAAAGGTTGTTCTGAGAAGGTGTCCATAGGGTTCAACAGACTGCCAAGGATTCTTATGGTATAAAGCTTAGCATCTAAGATTTTTCTGAAAAAGTATGTGTGTTTAGGTAGCTACTGATCTTCCAAGTTACAAGTTAGGGCCCTGAAAGTTAAGTTACAAAACTGAATAACAGTCATACTTAATGAAAAGAACTTGTTTTACATTGTATTGATTTGCAGAAGTATAATTTCTGATAAAATTACTTCACAGTGTAAGATAGTATTTAGGATATGAAATGAATGTTTTTAAAAGGCCATAAACTTAACATTCCTAAGTATTCATTTACTTTAAAAACATTCGTTTACTTCAAAAGTCTCCCTAGTACTAGTGATTGGTTTCATTCCACATGTAATTTTACCCTGGTTCCTTTGGATTTCATATCAATGAAAC